TAACAAACTATACATTTTAAACGATGAAATGTTTTCGTGTCATATACACTTTAAACAACATGACATACTTGTTCTGAGTTGATTTTAACAGTCACTTGAGCAAACAAGTTCTCCTTGCTATCAACAGGCACCACCCTGGCATGAACCACACGTGGTCTTTCTAACTCGCGAACAAACCTCCAATGTAGTTGTTTATTGTCTGGGAAAAACTCCTTCTTGAGTGCCTTATAGATAAATAAATAAATAAATAATAATGGGATTAACAGTGGATTCCACAGAGTGGCTCTTCTTCCACTGGATTCCAATTGGAATTTAGAAGTTGATTTTTGTGGAGGGAGGAAAACCGGAGAACCTGGAAAACCCTCGAAGCACAGGAGAGAACCAACAAACAACTCTACTCATATACAACACCGAGCTTGTCGGGACTCGAATCCAGGTCGCCACCCATGCTTCCCATAAAATGAAATATAGGGTATATAATACTGTAGGTAGCTTGATCAGAATGCTAAAATTACTATTGGTAGGATCTGTCACCAACCGATTAACAACTCCCATAAACATTCTTTTAAAGAAAACTTAATTGGTGGTGTGCATCCTTTCTCATGAGAATAAAATGACAAAAGATGTGGCTGCCATTTTGGTTGACATGACAAAAGACACAAAGACCAAAGAAATGTAGGCTGTGACGTCACATGATTCCAAACATAGGCCATAAGTAAACTTCCAACAGTGTATTTGTGGTCTTGGTCTAAATAAACTGTTTCCAAAACCAGGAAAGTCAAGTTTAAGACTAGGAAATAAAGATTCTATGTATTTTTGTAGTTTGGAAGAAAGAAAAAGCTCTTAATACTAATCATACTTACATGGTACACTGATCCTGTAGCTAGTTCTTCCAATTTTTTCTTATCTTTACTAAAAATGTAAAACAAAAAAAACTCAAATCACTCACCTTGTAAAAGAAACAGGGGCGGTGCCAGGGGAGGAGTGCAGGGGTTGGGCACCCCTCTCTGGTTTGACTTTGTGCCCCTACTAGTATACTTCAAAGATAGCCAATACAAAATAATGTTTTTTCCATTTGATAGTAAGGGGTGCACCCCTCCCTGGGTTAATGTTTTGCACCGCACCCATCCCTGGACAAAATTCTGAATCCGCCCCTGGGAGAATGTCTAGAAAATTAAATAACATGGCTATCACATGCTTATTTTACCTCATTAGAGCTTTATTGACATTAATGTACACATCTTGAGCTTCTTGAGCAAAGGGACGTAATTTGAAGGGTTTGCAGTACTTCTTTATGAATGCCAGGCTAAATGAGAGAGGAATTTAAGGAATTAGAGGTAACAGGAAAATGACATTTCTTTCTACCATTCAAGATTCATTTGCAAATATTTTATATTATTGCATAGACCCAATACACCAAACATTTAATAGACCCCTTGCAGTCCGTCACAATGCAGCTCAATTTGGAGGACATAATAATAGGTTTCAATTCGCAGGAGAATGAAATTCTTTTGTTTTGTCCTCCAAATTGAGCTGCTTTGACATCACATACAAGGGCTCTATTTGTGGTATTTAATAAAAGATTCCTCAATAACACTTTTGTTAAACCACCAACATGTCTTTATCTTTTGGCTCTCTTGGGAATTGTTGCAAACCATCAACATGTAAAGATAGTTGAACGATTTGCTTTTCTAGGGCAAATAATTCTCAATTTGTGGTCTAAATGGATCAAGCACATGTCATACAGGTCTCTTCTTCTGATTATTTTCTATTCCCACTCATTTGATGACAAAAACTCATTGATCAATATTATGAGTCACTTTGCAGTTAAATTTTACCACAATTAATATAAAATTTCTTGCTTCTTGATTGGTCGAGAGCATTGGTAAATAAGAGGATATACCAACAAATTGTTCAAGCACTGATTCAGCACAACCTAGAAACCATTTTTCATTCAAAGTTTTATCATTTTTTAAGAGTAAAATTTAAACAAATTAGTAATGGTTTTGCATGGTATGTCCTTCTATTTACCACCATATGACTTCAAGAGTTGGTCAAAATATAGTTATATACCCACTTAGTTATACCTAGTGAGTACATAACATGTTGACCAACTGTTGACATAATTTTGTTAAGTACAGAACTGATGCTCAATTAGCTTGAACAATAATGGTGCTCTACATGTTTTCAGAGACATTCTGAAAACATGAATGTCAATAAGTTCAAATTCAACAGGGCCATATCCACTACAAGGCAAGTGAGGCAGTTGCCTTGATAAAATGTCACAAAGCCCCTTAAAACTCAGGAAATCACATTTCTGAGGGTTTTAGTTTCTTCACCCTCTCTTTTGCCTTGGTAAACAAGTAAGAGTTAGTTACCGAGAACGGAGGTAACTAACTATTTTAGGTATCAATTAAGAAGGTTTTCTATAATATTCTGATGTTAGACTTTTAATATGATGAAAATAAAAAGAATTTTAAAAAATATTCGTGGTTCAGTTGGAAGTTTAGAATGTATACAAAAGGGGTAAACATTTTCCGCTTTGTTTTTATATTTCCCTTGBWGTCTMTAGAGCATGAACAATGTGAGTTGATTATAAAGGGATTTAYTAATGCCCTCTAGTCCCTACAGAGGTAATGTGGCACATAGTTTTAAAGTTCTGGAAATCTATGATGCTAATTAAACAAAAGTGCRGATGRTAATAGAAAACCATAGATTTTAGGGTTTCGTAATCACATGTGGCTGTATGGCAATGGAGTTGGAACGAACCGGGCATAGAGATGAAAGAAGCCTTCAAAAATACCAAAGGCCAAGTGTAAGTGTCAAGACAGCGATTTCCAAGTGCTTTGACAGTGGAGGTAACATCTACGGCAAAAAGACCTAATGAAGATAATGGCGGCCAGGAAAACAAGAAGAAATGTAGTGAAAAGGATGAGCAAAACCCAGTTTGTAAGAATTATTATTTTAAAAACTGTGTTGTAAACTTTAACACATAAACTATGAGCACTAGCAACGATTTGATAATGTAATGTTTAGAAAACATATCTCTATAGTTTTTTTGAATGTAAACATTAATTAGATTAGTTCTGTAGAATAGTATTATTCCCCAGATAGTTTACTCGTCAGGCAGCAGGGAAGAGCGGGGCTGATATGAATTAATCTGATTGGCTCATTATAAATTCAAGGTCAATATATAGTTATAAACCGGGTTTATAACTATATATTGACCTTCGATTTATAATGARCCAATCAGATTAATTCATATCAGCCCCGCTCTTCCCTGCTGCATTTCAATTCCCTCCCCGGGCTTTAAGTTTGTCCATTGTTTATGAGGGTTGTAATAAAAATAAAGCCTTATGAATAACAAAGAAAACCGTGTCAATTGATAACTAATTCAGTCTTGCTACAGCCCTGTACAGCAAACGGCTGTGATGTGTGTTGATTTTTCAGATAAAATAACACCTATTCTTAAAAAAACCTTGTTGTAACTCTAAACTAACCTGTATATTGTCCAAAGACCATTTTTAAAAGCACTCCACCTTTGATTTAATCCCTGAAGGAATAGAAATGAAGGAAATGACTGACCAATGAGACTGAAAGCTGGGGCCCCTGTGGTATTCAATATGGCACCAGAAATACTGTAAACAATTACTGTAAAAAGTTTTTTTAGCTTTGTCAAGTTATTTAGCTTGTTCAAAAGATATTGCAAAAGAATCGCAAAGATCAATCTAAGGACAAAATTACAAAAGTCTATTCATCATAAAATTTGTTTTATTGGCCTGAAAAGCCTACTGGAAAGATCGATCAAAGGGCAAGATTACAAAAGCCTATACACCGAATCGAAATATGGCGACCAATTTGAATAACTATTGTTCTGCACTGACTAGCGAATGACTAGCCTCCTATACATGTGAAAATGCTTTTATGTTTCCACGTGAACACGAGGCTAGTCAGTCGCTAGTCAGTACAGAACAATAGTTATTCAAATTGGTCGCCATATTTCGATTCGGTGTATTCATCATAAAATGTGTTTTATTGGCCTGAAAAGCCTATTTGAAAGATGACGCCAAAGTGAAGAGTTCAAGCCAATATTTTTTTGTTTCATTTCGTTCCGCAAGGGTTTGACAATCTGCTGGTCCAGGAGGGGTTTAGAAAAGGGTCCAGGGGGTCTTTGAGTGGGGTCAGTGATGCAGTAAAGCACATTGTATCACTAATCTAACTTACAGTAGGTGTTAATATGAAAGCTTTCTTGTCAAGAGGAATATAGTCACTGACAACAGCCCCTGCGAAAGTAGACAAAAAAAAACAGATATTTGTTTCATTTCAAAATGGGAAAACTGAAGGAATGCAAGCAAACATGGCGAGGATTTGAAAAGTGGCCCAAGTATTATTCTGTGGGACACCACAGTTACTTTTGTCCACTTTTTTTTATCCTGCTCATCATATGACCGCCATACTGGTTGGCAAAGGTGGTAGTAGATAGTAGCAACAAAATTAGCATGGATCAACTGTATCCCTTGATCTTTTAGGGGG